AGTAACAAATTGGCCATTTTTTTTCCAGTGCATTATTCAGTGCATCAAAAAGATTCTGGTAGCAATCATGATGCATTAATCTCAAAGCAGTGTGCTTTCCAAGGATTTGTCTTGTGCTGTCATCTCCCAAGGCAGCCAGATTTCATGATACACAGAATGGTTCAAAATAGTTACCATATAAATCTGTTCAAACTAGGCCCTCTTATAAGGGATCTGGTAAATTTTTAAAAACAGGAAGTCAGAGCTACAAACTTGAGAGATGTTGAAAGTAAACCCCTCAAGTGCTTATCAAGATGATAACTTATTTGGGAAATCAGAAGCTCCTATCTAGATTTAACAAGTATTCTCTCTTCCTACAAATGTCTACCAAGAAAAATGTAAACAAAAACATGTTAGCCTTGCATCACACGAATGCAAACAATTTCTTAAATGTAATAGTTAACAAATGTGTCAAATATTTATCATATGCTAAATACGTAGCATAGTTAGAGTGACCAAGTGTCCCGTTTGGAACTGGAACACCTGGCCAAAAGAGGATCCTCACAGCTCCGGTCTGCATCACTGACAGGGCCACTGATGGTACATCTCCACACAGTGTAATTTCGGAATAACTGACATTATTCTGAAATAACATAGTCCATGTCTACACTACAAGCAATTATTTCAAATATGTCAAAATAATGTTGAGTTGGAGGACTTCTGACTCCAACTCCTGTAACCTTCATTTTATGAGGAGTAAGGGAAGTCGAAGAAAGAGTGCTCTAACTCAGACTTCCTGCTGTGTAGACAGTGCCAAAAACCAAAATAAGCTATTTGGACTTAAGCTGAGCAACTGATGTAGCTCAAGTTACATAGCTTATCTCGGCTTTTGCCCTGCTGTGTAGACATGCCCTGACTGTCCAGCTGGGGGTGCCATGCAGGGGGGCTGGCAGGCTCCCTGGAAGCATCTGTGCTGTGCGACTCCTGGGAAGGAGCCAGCATGTCCCCCTTCCAGCACCTATGTGTAGGAGTAGCCAGGGGGGTTCTTCATGCTGCACCCACCCAAGCACTGCCCCTGCTGCTCCCATTGCCAGAGCCAACTACCCTTCCCAGCCAGGGGCATCATCCCCTACCCTTGAGCCAGCCCAGTGAAAATGAGTGAGTGAGGGCAGCAGGGGGGAGGAGAAAGGAGCGAGGGGGCAGCGCGTTGGAGAAGGAATGGGGCATGTGTAGAGCTTAAGAGGAGTGGTGGGCAGAGGGCAGGATATGGGTGCTGGGTTTTGTGAGAGTAGAAAGTTGGTGACCCTAAAGCCCAGTATTTTGAGGAACATGATTAAAACATGGGTACTGTGCATAAACTCACATTTGCAAGAAGAATTTATTACACAGTTAGTGGGTTTTTAACCCTCTCATATAGGTATATATAGTTATCTAAAAATGAGAACAAACAGTATGAATATTCAATAACAGCTCAGTAAGAATGTGAAATATTATAGGATAATGAATATGCAAAAATGATTTCCAGAAGCCCACCATGTCATATAAAAAGACCATGATTTAAGAGTTCCGTCCTTTAGGTGTCAAAGGTCAAAGCAATGAGCTATTAAAGATACTTTCACTTCCCCTGAAATAAAGTGCTGTCTTGGGCCAAAAGGTGAGAGGTTAGAAAAGCAGTTTGTCTGCTGGTCTAGTCCCATTCTTCCTCCTGACAGGAAATCACACACTCTCCTACACAGCGTTCAGGGTTAACCTAGGGTCATGGCCATCAACTAAGTACCCAGCTAAAGAAATACATTATTTATTAAGAAGAAAAGGCTGTACAGGCCACAGGTTAAATTTCTGTCAAACACAAATTTTACTCTAAAGTGCAGCTAAGGATTAATGTAAAAAAAAACAAATAATCCACCTTCCACTGCAGCTAAATAGTGCAGCTGTGGCCATAATCTCTTATGCTTAAAGAGGCAACCATAACAAAAAAAAAAAATTACGACACAATAGATTAGTTGTTAGGTCAAGACAACAATTAATTTTTCAAAATATTTATAAGATCAGAATTGGAAATGTCATCTTATCTTTTATGATGTGGCTCAAGCCAAATCTTACTATCTCCAATACAGATTTTTTTAAAATAAACTATAAAAAAATACATTATTAATTTGTAGTGAGATTCACTATATTTATAGCGAGGTGCATGTCCACAAGACTAAATATGTTCCACTAGGCTTGCACAAGTATTGGGGACACATGAGTCAATAATATAGCTAAAAGTGTTATAAAAATGCAAATAAGATAACATTTTTAAATGATCACCTGGACAGTCTTAAGGAGTTGCAATAATTTTGAGTGTCATAATACAGGGAGCAAGAATTTCTGCTTCTGGTCTGAAACCATCATTTCTTAATACAGGTTGGCCCTCGCTGGTCCAGCACCCTTGGGACTTGACTGGTCCCAAACAAGGGGATTTGCCGGAGTAGGGAAGGTCACTCCCCTCCTGGCTGTTCTGGCACCGGGTCAGGGCTCCAGCCTGCCCCCGCTGCCCCTCTAGATGCTGCCAACCCTGCTGCTGCCAGGGCAGAGCACCATCAATGGAGTTCCGCAGCTGCCCCGTTCCATGGTTGGAGCTTTGTAGCCACCCGGTTCTATGACCGGAGCTGTGCAGCCAAGGCTGGGACTGAGAGCTGGGGACAGAGTTCCCTGGCCACTACTGGGGCCAGAATGCCCTGCTGTGCTGTCTGTTCCCACCTCCTCCTCCCCCCACATGCACACTGGATTGCTCCTGCCCCACTGCCAGACCTCCCTTTTCCTGGGCTCTGTGTTCCAAGAACATCTGTGGTCCGGCATGGACCACGGATGTTGCCAGACGAGGGAGACCAGGTTAAGGGAGGTACAACCTGTATAGAGTTCTCAGTAAAGATGACTGTTTAACTAACCAAAAAAAAAAAAAATCAAAATTTCAAATTTGCTTGAATTTCACAGGGTTCAGAACAAGCCTATTTTGTTTTCTACACAACTTTTTGGTCACAGTCTGCAATATAATCAGGAGGTCTTTTAATGAAAATATTACCAGTTTTTAATTAAGTATACTGTAAGCAAAATGCCCATAACCATTTGATAATGTCTTTGATAATTGTTTTATACCATCGCACACAAATGAAAATATCAATACTTTGAGAAATCCTTTAGTTTTGAAAAGGAAAATACCATTTTGCAATTGAAAATCTATTATTTGAAAAATGTCAACCAGCTTTAAGCCCACTTTAGCTGGGTCTGGAATTATTTACATATAAATTACACAGCACCAGAGAACCGGAAACAAACTGGGTCTGGTATCAGAGGGGTAGCCATGTTAGTCTGGATCTGCAAAAACGATGAGGAGTCCTGTGGCACCTTATAGATTAACAGATTTATTGGAGCATAAGCTTTCGTGGGCAAAGACCCACTTCTAGTCATCCGGAGTTCTTCAGATGACCAGTCATCTGAAGAAGTGGGCTGTGCCCACGAAAGCTCATGATACCATCTACATGTTTTGTTAGTCTATAAAGCGCTACCAGATATCATTCACTATGTATGATGCGCTAAGGCTATGTCTGTGCAATTTATCAGACTGATATTGCAAAACTGTATTATGGCCAAGTGCGTATTGTAAAAGTGTATAAATATGTTGGCCTACCACTGTTGACAAGTCCTGTAGCACATAAACCCAAGACAATTACAATGGGAATGAAAGGTTAATGACAGTACTTAAACTTGTCAAAAGGTTATGGTATAAAAGCAGCTCAAGGCTTGCAAATCCACTTTAGCTGAAGGAAGGAGAAAGATAAGAACTGTGGAAAGTTACTCAGGACAGAAGAAAGGAAGCCAGGTTGGACCAGCCCAGCCATAGAGGAACAGGAGGACCAGACAGGACCAAAAAGACAAGGTAAGAAAAGGCAAGGTCACAGATATGGGAAAGGGGCTCCAGAAAGTGAGGGCAACCAGCAAGTAGCAACTCTGTGGAGTAGGGAGCCCTACACACAAATTCCTAGATGGCCTCAAGGACTCTGGACAGCCCTAAAAACTCAGACTCAAACCAAAGAGTGCCCTGGAGTGAAGAAGAAACTGAGGCAATGACATACATATAATGTGTATTGTTTTGTATGAACTGTACTCTCCTGGGCTTTACATGATTAAAGATAAAAGAGCATTCATATGTTAAACACATGGCCTGAAAGAGTTAACTGCAGATGAGAAGTTTCATACCTTTGGGATGGAATTCTGGGCCTAGAAGGGCCAGGATGCTGTACAGCATGTTCCAACTTTGGAAGAGGGTGTCAGATAAGAGAACTATATCCCAAGAGTGTGTTGAAGGACCCAAGATTGGAGCAGTGGTCGGATTCTGTGCAGGTGCAGCAGCTTAAAACATCCCAGGGAATCCAGAGCACAGAGGCTTGGATTCCTCCACATAGCATTTCTAGTGGCTGGCTGAAAAGGGTGCTCACAGATTGTAAAGGCAATCCTCCTTTTCTCTATGTACAGTCACTGAGGCTATGTCTAGACTGCAGGCTTCTTTCGAAAGAGGCTCTTTCGAAAGCATCTTTTGAAAGAGCCTCTTTCGAAAGATCGCGTCTAGACTGCAGGCGGATCTTTCGAAAGAGAAATCCGCTTTTTCGAAAGACAGCACCCAGCGAGTCTGGATGCTCTCTTTCGAAGACGGCCTCTTTACATTGAAGAACGCCTTCTTTCGAAAGAGGAACTTTCAAAAGAAGGCGTTCTTCCTCGTAAATTGAGGTTTACCGCCATTGAAAGAAAAGCCGCGTTCTTTCAAAATAATTCCGAAAGAACGCGGCTTGAGTCTGGACGCAGGGGAAGTTCTTTCGAAAAAAGGCTACTTTTTTCGAAAGAACCCCTGAGTCTGGACACGGCCTACATGATCACATACCACCTTAAGAACAAGAGGTAGAACATTCTCAATAGTCTTACGGGAAAGACTGGGTGGCAATCCCAAGGAACACATTGTAATCAAAGGCTAAAGAGAGTCTTACCAAATTAATCAGTTGCGTGTGGATGATATCTTCCACTAATACTGCTGATTCATGGAGAGGTCTGCGAGCATCCCCTAAGGAAAACCTGAAAGAAAATTGTTTCACATAAGTTTACCAAACTGTTAGAAGAAAAGCAAAAACCTTACATTAAACCAAGTAAAAAAGAAAGGATCACCTGTATTTAAACTACTGAATTGAAAATTGTTTAGTGTGGTACAAGGAAGTATACATAAAAATAATTGGATTAAATGAAGAAAGAACACTGAGGATAAATATCAGAAAAGAAAATCCTAGCATAGTGACATAAATTATAGAGTGTAACGGACACTGAAGAGAAGACATGTAATTCCACCTATTAGGGACAAACCTAGACTAGCCCAAGTTGTAGTAAATGTACTGTAGTGTTATTAGGTCTTAACCACCATTAATTTCAATTAAGCACCTTCAGCCACGTCATGGTATTGTATTGAAGAACAAGGATATAATTCCTTCTTCCTTTTACAAACTGACACACAGCCATTTAAGTTTTTACTCAATTTACATTAAATGTTTATGTTAGTGTCTTCTTCTCCCAAAGCTAAATGCTAAGTAGCGCATACTTTTAGAAGAAAGTGTAACTGAAAAAAAGAAATTTTTATAAATTATCAAATGCCTTTTAAAGTGAATTATCTTATATGATATTTAAAATTCAGTTTTACAACACACTGTACATAACTATTTCAAAATGCATAGTATTTACAGTAACAGGAATAATTACAGACAGTTGTTGTGGTAGGTTTGAAAAGAAAGAGATACGAGTAGAAAAATTAAGGCTGGTAAAAACAAAGAGAAAGCTTTACAACAAAGGATAATTTTTGTCAGACTATGGCAAGAATAGGCGAGAGCTGCTGCTCATGGGGAGTCTGCTTTCTAGCTCATTATCCTGTCTTATGACAGTGGCCAATAGTAGGTGCCCCAGAGGGAATGAACAGAAGTAATCATCAAGTGATCCTAACCTTGTTGCCCATTCCCAGCTTCTGACAAACAGAGGCTAGGGACACTATTCCTGCCCATCCTGGCTATTAGCCCCGGATGGACCTATCCTCCATGAATTTATCTACCTCTTTTTTGAACCCTGGTAAAGTCCTGGTCTTCACAACATCCTCTGGCAAGGAGATCCACAGGTTCACTGTGTGATGTGTAAAGAAATATTCCCTTTTGTTCGTTTTAATCCTGTTATTAATTTCATTTGGTGGCCCCTAGTGCTTACATTATGGAAAGGAGTCAATAACTTTTCCTTCATTTACTTTCTCCACACCTGCCATGATTTTATAAACGTCTATCATATCCCCCCTTAGTCACCTCTTTTCCAAGCTGAGAAGTCCCAGTTTCATTAATCTCTTCTCATATGGCAGCCATTACTTACACCCCCATATAATTTCTGTTGCCCTTTTTTGAACTTTTTCCAATGCAAGGTATCTTTTTTGATAAAAGGTGGCCACATCTGCACACAGTATTCAAGATGTGGATGTACCATGGATTTATATAGGGGCTATATGATATTCTCTGTCTTATTCTCTATCGCTTTCTTAATGATTCCCAACATTCCGTTTACTTTTTTGAACACTGCTGCACATTGAGTGGATGTTTTCAGAGAAATATCCACAATGACTTCAAGATCTCTCTCAAGTGACAACAGCTAATTTAGTCCCTATCATTTTATATCTTTAATTGTTTTTCAAGATGCATTACTTTGCATTTATCAACATTAAAATTCACCTGCCATTTTGTTACCCAGTCACCTAGTTTTATGAGATCCTTTTGAAGCTCTTTACAGTCTGCTTTGGACTTGAGCAGTGTTGTATCATCTGCAAATTTTGCGACCTCATTGTTTAGCCTTTTCTCCAAATCATTTATGAATATGTTGAATAGGATTGGTCCCAGTACAGACCACTGCAGTACACCACTAGTTACTGTTCTCCATTCTGAAAACTGAGCATTTATTCCTTCCCTTTGTTTCCTATCTTTTAACCATCCATAAGAGGACCTTAAGAGGAAATCTTATCCCGTGACAGCTTACTTTGCTTAAGAAAGTTTAGCGACAGTCTTTGTCAAAGGCTTTCTGGAAATGTAAGTACAGTGAAACCTTTTTTATCCTTGTTCTGTAATAATACGACAGCAAATGAATTACCATAAATAAACCTAGACACAGATTGGAGCATAAAGTTGTCCTAGCTTCATACTAGATCTGACCTTGGAACAAGGAATGCTTTACATCCGTGATGATTCTATCTGCTTTGATGAATCGCAACTCCTGCTTATGTTTAATCACTGCTGATAGTAACAGCTGACAGCTAGTTTGGAAAAATCCTCTGCAAAGAAATTTTGTTCTACTGAAGGTGTGGGAAAGCTTCACAAATGACTCATTTTGCATATGGTCAGAGTGTTCTGAAGGTTGTTCTGCATATTTTTATAAAGTAAACGCTTGTTGACCTCCTTAAAGAATTCTAGTAGATTGGTGAGGAATGGTTTCCCTTTACAGAAACCATGTTGACATTCCCCTAACAAATTATGTTCTTATGAGTCTGACAATTTTGTTCTTTACTATAGATTCAAAAAGATTGCCCAGCACTGAAGTTAGACATACCAGCCTGTAATTGCCAGGATCACCTCTACAGTGCTTTTAAAAAATTGGCATCACATTATCTATCTTGCAGTTATTTGGTACAAAAGATGATTTAAAGGAGGTTAGAAGCCCAAACCCCACTCAAGGAGAAATGGAGTATCCAGGATTCTGACTGAGGGGTTCTGCTTACCATGTCATCATTACACTAACACTTTGACAAAAATTTTAAATACATAACAACAGCTCAATTGAATTACTGTAAAATACACACATAAATTAGAACCGACTTTTTAACACATCAGCCAAATTACACTTTGAAAGAGGCAGCTATAAAATAGATAACAGTACTCAGCCCTTGCCTACTTTACATACAAATCCCATAAATTTAAGAACCAAAGAGTTCTTTAAAAAAAAAAATCATTCTCACTTTTCCTTCACCTCAATTCCTCCTTCCACATAAAAATAAGACAAAAACCATTTATTTCCAGGCATGAAGTGCAGGACCATGGGTTACTACTACCTGGAAAAGATACTCTCTCTATATAACAACGCTTTATTAGTACCTCTTGATTCAAACTAAACAGAGTAGCTGTAACATCTGACATCTGGAGCAGCCCCTGTCTGCAGCAGGCCATCCTGCAGGACTGAGGCAGCCCCTCCCACACACACCCAACAGCAGGGGAGCTGCTACAGTCCGATTGGTAAACAGGTTAAACCTTCACATTCCTAATCTAAACTAAAAGGATTTAAAACAGTCATGAGCAGACCGCACTGATCATTATTATATACCAATATTTTTAAATTTAAAACTATTGCCTGTGTTGCTAAGACTTTAGAAGACATGAAACCAAATTTGGAACAGAGCAAATAAATGGCTGGCAACTAACAAATTGGATGCAACAGACCATGGTCTATATTAATATTATTCTATGAACATTAAATAAAGATATTAATAAATTAACAATTTCTCTGAAAAGAACAAAAAATTGAGGGCAAATTTCTGCTCTCTGATCAGAGAACTGGCTCTCCTCTGAGATAACGTGTTACCCTGCCTGCATAGATGTCCCACCAATGTAACTGACAGATCTCCACATGTAACAGGAGTGAAGAATCAGCAGACAAGATCCAATATACAGAACTAAGATGTGAATTTTGCCCCACATTTTTTTTTTTTTGGTCTATTCAGATTTGCAAAAGGATATATCAAGTTTGATTGCTGGAATTCCATATTCCAGCAACCATTAACTAGAGATATGTAAAAGCAGATTCACTACTACTACTACCACTACCACCATACACACACACACAGACAAACACACACTCATTCTTTTTCTTTTCATATTTAAAAGGTATGTGTATCTCAGTTTCTCTTTTTCCCACGTTACTGTTGCCAACTTTCTTCCCACACAGGGAAAGCTAGATATTGGCATGATGGTTTCTGCAAAAAAATAAAATAAAAACCGCCATATGTACCCACAGCCACTTCCTTTTTCTCAGTAATGCATGGTGGATTTTCAAGCTACTGAAAAAAAATTAAATCTGAATAACTGTTAATGATATTTTAGCATCTATCCATTACCCTATTAGCCTCTGGATTCTGTTTAATTAATAATAATTGTTTCTATGTCAAACAGGAATGTTTCTGCCCCTTCCTATTTCCTGGGATATGCATCTGACATGAAACTGACAAATACATGTACATTGAAAAGTTTAGGTTTTAATTCCTTTCTTTACTTAAGCTGTTGTAGCTGAATAAGTGGTAAACTAAAACTTGGAATAGGAGGGGAAGAGGATTCACCAAACTACGACCTAGATGGTAGGTAGAGGACAGAACATAACTTAATGTGTTGCTTTTGGGGTTGGAATCAGACTTGGTTTAATATTACTTTGTGTGTTTCTTTTCCTATGGGCTTTTTTTCTCCCCAAATGGCACAGTAGACAGCACTTAAAAAAATTCTACACCTGATCAAGGAAAAGATTTGTTAAATAAACACATTTACTGCACACCTAACCATTATACATCCATACAACAACAAATCCTTCTTAGATAACCTCATTTCAAAGAGCTTTTTTTAAAAAACTGCAAGTTTGGGTGCAACAAGGTTATCAATGCAAAAGTTATTAACCAAAGAGTAAAAATAATTATGGTGTGGGGAAAGACTGCAGCAGTCTTTTGTATTTAGTTGCTTCCATTTCCATTCTGTCTCTATCCATGTCATGATCTCTCAAGGTATATCAAAAGATGTCAATGTCCCACCCACTCACACACTTCATCAGAATAATGCTGACAGTATATCCTAAGGAAGATGTTACATCAGTCCATGCCAGGGGGAGATAAAAGGATCCAGGCTGCCGGTCACCGCAGGCTCTGGGCGGCGGGATTCCGGCCTTCGACATTCATGTAGCTGCCAGGCTGCTGGCTGCCTCTGGCCCTGCAAACTCTTGGCTGCCCACTCGCACTCCCTAGCAAAGTTTAATTG